AAGTTGAAAATTAGAAGTGGAGATGATGAAGTTAATTTTAATCTGTTTGAAGTTGTACAACAACCGGAAGAAAAAAAAGATTGTCTCAGAATAGACACTTTGCAGGAATCAACCATCTCAACTGAAAAACAAGATTACAAGCATGTTGCACAACCCCAAAGACATCTTAGTCTGACTATGAAGGAAGTTATTCAAAGAGAGGTACTGAAACCTCCTGAAACAGGTATGATTTATCCAATCTCTGACAGTTGTAAGGTTATTCGCAATGAGAAAAATAAATTCATTCCCACAAGGACAGTCAAGGGATGGAGAATGCGTATATATCACCTTGATTACTCACCTGCATGAGCCCTAAAGCAAATAGGCGTCAAGCTGAAGACGTTAAACAAGTGCTCCTGGGAGGCAACCCAATGTTTTGAATTTGTTTTTTTTCTTTTTGCAGTTGAAGTTTTTTTTGTGCATTTTTCTTCCTTAGGTTCTTTCTTTGCAAGATTGCTCCAAGTACACAGTGCACTTCTTCTCAAGACTTTGAAGCCTTACTTCAATGGCCTGGGGACAGTCCAACTTTTTTGGAGGGGGTGAGAAAGTCTGCAGCTGAGGCTAAGGCACAAGATAAGGAGTAGATGACAAGTAAAGAAAATAAGGGAGGAAACTTACTTTACTTTTAATTCCTTTGTTTTTAATTTAATGTTTTTAATTGCTTTATTTTAAATTTTGAATTCCCTTGCTGTCCCATAATTTGTTTAGAGCCATATATGAAATTATTGCTTATTGTCTAATTCAAATCTAGAACATGAAAAATAATTTTGATTGTTTCCAATAACAAGTGATTTTGGGATATTGAGTATGATAGTGAAAAGGAATTGATGAGGAAAATTAGGAATTAACTGAATTGGAGAAGCTAGTCAAAACCCAGGTGAGCAGAGTACCACAAACAGATAAATTGAGTGTCAACACTTTGTGATGATAACTGATATTGGTTGATTCTTTGATGTGATTACATGTTAGCAAGACTTGAAAATGATAAAGACATTTTTTCTTTGTAGTAGATATAACCCAGAGCCAAATAGCCAACCATGCATTAATTATAGGACATCCATTTGAACCCCTTCTGAGCCAAAAAAATAATAGTTTCTTAAACATAACCCTTAAGCTTAAACACTATTTATCTACCTTCCTATATTTGAGAAAGGAAATAAGTATGAATGTCACTATTTTTCTTATTGTTGGGTATTGCTATTGTTGTCCTACAGGTATTGTTGGGGTGTTATTATAAAAAAAAAAATTGTAAAGAAAAAGGAAAAGCAAAGCTTAAAAATTTGCAAAGCAAAAAAAAAAAAAAGGATACATGCAAAAAAAAAAATGTTTCAAAAGGGGGGTAATAACTTGTGAGATTATTAACTCATTGTCATTGTGTTAGGGACAAAAGCATAAAGTTTGAAACCTAACTTGAGAAAATTGTTAATCAAGAATCATTCATATGAGTTGAATTTCTCAAATATTATTATATATCCCAGAAAAACCAATAATTCTTTCTTAGTCCGGCCCCATTACAAGCCTCAAAAGACCTTTTGATTTAAGTCTTGTTTAACAATTGTTGATTGCTTGAAGATGATTATCAATATTGGATTGTCTAAATGAAGTGATTGAATGAGATAAACACTTACTTGTGAGAATTAGAGATGAGTATATATAATTCTATTTGAGAGATCATGCTTCTCTGAGGATAGTTGAAGACTAATTATTCTTTGTTGGTTTCTATAACTTGAATGCTTATGTGTTCTATTTTCATTTAGAGTTGTGAGCATCACCTCTGAAAATTTTTATGTTGTGGTTCTAGAAGAGAAAAAGATAATAAGTGATGATTTTGTTTTGGAAAAATTACTTTGCTTGGGACAAGCAAGATTCTAGGTTGGGGGGAGTTGTTAAGTGGTAAAAAGTTGATATAATTATGCTTTGAATTGTTATGAAACCACTTAACTTATGTTAATTCTAATATATTTTTCTCCCAATATAGGATGAATTCGAGAATACCTTGATACAAAAGGAAGGATCATAATTGTCAGCATAATTAGAGTAAAATTGAAAGAAAGAAGAGCGCTTAAGTGAATAAATGATGCAAGGCCTGACCCAAATTCTCTTATAAAAAGATAAGTTGTGTTTTGAGAAAAGCAAGCAGTCTTGGAGAGGAGGAGGCACGACTACTGTTAGGGTTTTGTCCAATCTTCATCAATTCTTCTTCATCAATTAAAGCATTGTAATGACCAACATGAGTGACTAACTTCATTCTCTTAGGATTCGGTGCACTTCCTTTGAACTCTTTGGTATCATGGTGATATTTTGAGATATTAATCTATGCTTTGATGTTGTTATTCTTATCTTCTATGCTTTGGAATGATTTATTCTTGATTGTTTGAGGTATGATTGGAAAATATATCTTGAACCCTAGATCACGGTAAGAATATTTGTTACGTTAATTGTCAGGAATGGAATGAATGTATCAAGTGCTTAAACACCCTAACCCTAATGCTGGAAAATCCCTTAATTGTGTGAGGAATCAACATTTATTAGGTTTTCTTATGAATTTCATGTGTGAGTAATCAACATGGATGATTTGAGTAGGTGGCATTAACATTGTTAGGTTAATTGACGTTCTTAATTGATTTAGCCATTACAAAAGAGGGATAAGGAAGGAAGTCAATCATAAGTACCTTTAATTGATATTTTCTCAACAATTTACAATTCTTTGTCATTTAATTTCAATTCAACTCTTATTTGCAAAACTTAATCTGTTTTAATCTACTTAGTAAGCATAATTGGGAATTTCCATTGAAACTGTTCCTCGTGGGATCGACTTTTATTTAATCGAAATACTATACTGCGATTGATAATTTGGTACGCTTGCCAATAATTCAACAGTTTGATATCTCTGCTAAATTGAATATACCTCTTATTAATATGAATTGACGTATCTATGAGATAGTACAAAATTTCCTCGCACAATGCAATGACAATGCACTTTACAGCCCGAAGCAATCTTCTCAATCCTACCCTTTCTCTCTCTCCAATCGAGATCATCTTGGAACTCTATTTTTTATTCCTTCCTCAGCCTTCCCTGACAGACTTATATACTAAGTCTGTTCTGCCTAAAAAATTTTACAATGCCAACTGTTTTTTTTTTAACTCGTTTTTTCTCTCCTTTTATATATTAACTTATATCTATCACTCACATTCCTCAATCTAACTTAGAGGACGGTGAGCAGTAGCGAACAATTATAAGGAGCGTGACCATCATGCGACCATTGCGCAACCAATGCGCGACCCAAGTAAAGGTGCATGACCCAAGCGAGTGTCGTGTGACCACCGCACGACCAAGGGCAACTCGCTGACTTGCCTCTAACTGACGACTTTACCCAGACTTTACCAAGTTTATCAAGTTTGACTCCGAGTCTACTTTAAAACGAGTTTACTGACGGGTTAATTCATACTTAGCTATTTGACTTATTAACTCATACGAGTAAGCAAGTTAACTCGTAAGTTTGATAATCATGTTTGTGATTGTTTGGATTGATCCCTTATAACCCCTCTACCTAAATGTTAGTTTGAAACATGGAGCTGCATTTGCTTTTCAATGTTCTTTAAATTTTCTACTTTTATTTGCATTCTTTGTCACTAAATTTGCAGTATTATTCTACTGCAGATGAAATGTAAAAAGCTTTCACACGACATTCACAAATATATTCATATATTTCTGATATCATTCTTTTTTTTCTAAAGTATTTGAATCGTTGATGATGATAGGCTTAGATATATCGTTTGGTCAATACGCAGTTAATTTATAGAGGAAGATAGCCATCAAATGGGACATATTGTTCTTCAAATATTAGGTAAATAATGCCAGATTTTTCTACTCCATATTCCAGAGTTTGCTTCATTTTGATTGTGGCAAATAAATGTTCTGTTTTTGTTAGATGTTGGGTATATGTAAATCATAAGAAAAAAAATTGTCTGTTTTGAAATCAGTACCTTTAGACGTGCATATATATATATATATATATATATATATATATATATATATATATATATATATACTGGAAGATCATTTAACCTGTCTCTTGATTCGGCGAATACGCTTGTTACTGAAGACTAAAGATTTTATTGCATTGGATTATAGTTTGTTGTCAATTGTGCACCATATGAAAAATAAAAAATATAAACTTCTGCATCCGAGACCAGAAAGGAAGAAGCATGTAAAAGGTCATTAATCGATATGAAATTTGGAAGGATTGGAATTATATCAATCTGTAATTAAAACATTATATATTAACTGATTACATTACTCTTGGGTTCTTTAATTTCTTCTCCAACAGTAACAAGAAAACTAGGCCCAAGGTTGGTAGATGAAAAGGCATTGTAAGAATTGATATGAATAAACATTGTAAAGGAGTCCTATCATATTTGATCCTATTCGCACAGCTGCCCTGGTTGATGAAGTGAGAGAATTTGTTCCTTAAGATTCAATTCCATATGTTGGAGAAGCGTTGACAATTTTGAGGAAGGAGGTACGAATGATCTCATGCCCTATTCACCTTAAAAATTCTGCTTTTGCTCATTTCACACTACATTTCTTTTACCAGCTATGGCCTTTGAGGATGACCAACTACCAATCCACATCAGCACTACATGCCGTTTAGATAATAACATCATCTCGTACAATTACAACACAACTACTCGAATTTGTTAGGGAAAACGGAATCCATCGACTATATATTGTGCAAAACAAAAGAATTGAGATTCAATGCAAAGTTAAGGACATAGAAAAACTGTCGCCAAACTATTGTCTTAATGATATTATTTAGTTGAAAAGTATTATTAAATATTCAAAGTTTATTTTGGTACATGCTTGCTGTTGATAAGATTTGGTACATGAAGGCATCAAATCAAGAACTTGATCATAATCAGCCATCTCAAATGCCTATATCATCACAAGATAGTTCGACTCAAATAGAGATATCTTTGCCAAAGAGATTGCTGATTCCTTTCCCAGGATCACTTTGTTTCACAATAGATTCTCCAACCAATATCTGTAAAAGAAATAGTGAAACAATTAATATGATACCATAAGGGTACTACTGTACCTGTGGTGAGCTGCAAAACATCTGCTGATTTTGGTTTACAATGAAGTGTTGAAAATTTCGCTAAATATAATCAACAAGTAAAAAATGTTTGACAGTTCCGAGAACACATGCGTTGATGGAATTCAATTTCCTTTACCATTTCCCAGGTCTTTTTAATGAGAGTAGAAATGGAATTGCCAATACTTACAGCTCTGACACCTGCTTCTTGAACATAGGCAATGTCTTCAGGGGTGAACAGACCAGATTCTCCAACCATCTAGACAAAACATGCGTATGATCATCAGCATGATGTTGATATACCAAAATAAAAAACTTTGAAACGCTCTAAAGAAAAGGAAAGGAAAGGAAAGGCCACGTACAATTATGTCTCTCTCACGGACTATTTTGCCTCGCTCTCCTTCAAGAAGCTTCTTTGTGATGCTAATATCCAGCTCAAATGTTTCTGCAATCCCAAAAAAGAAAGCCACGGTTGATGACTCAGATCCTCGAGTTTAAATATTTAAAGATTAGCACAGAAAGATAAAATCAAATTAGAAAATTATTAGTATTCTCAAACATGTGAGAAAGACAAAAAAACACTAATTGCACTTTTTTTCTTTCCTTTGTATTTTGGTCCCTTAAATTTTTTCTGTCCAGTTAAGTCCTTCCATTTATTATTTCTACATAAAATCCTTAATTTCTCATTTTCTACTTGAAACCTTCACAAATTGAATTAATTAAATTGTTTAAAAGCTTCTCCTGAACAAAACACTAAATTTTTCACCAAAATAAAAAATAAAATAATAATCTCATATGTTTCTCTCTTCATATCCTACAAAGTCCTTTAAATTTATTAAATTTCCACTAAGATTTTTACCTCTAATTTGTGAAATGATTTTATATCCTAAACCCATCATAAACCCTCAAATATTTATAAGGAAAAAAAAAAAGAGAGAATTTGAAGGTTTTAGATATAATATAAGAAAATTGAAGGAGGGGCCAAATTTGCTTGATTAAAAATTAGAGGAACTTAATTGGCTTGAAAAAGTTAGGGGACGAAAATGCACATAGTTCAAGCGAAAGAGACCAAAAATACAATTATGTTAAAAAATGTTGCTAGGTGAAGCAATAGCAGAGCGTATACAGATAAAAGTAATTGCATTCCTTCAAAGTTTTCTGAGTTCTAAAAGATTGTAGTAACAAGGAATAGATAGGATTTAAAGAATTGATGATGTAATCCATGTAGAAGGATAAGAAAGACAAAGAACATTAATGAAGAAAACTGGAAAAATTAAACAGAAAATGAAAGCAAAAGTAGAAATAAAAGGCACATCCATTTGGATTGGTACTGGAAAACAAGCTGATCAAATATCAAAAGGATTTGATTGAAATACTACTTAAAAGCTAAATTGCATAATATACTTTGAATTAAATTCCATTTTGAGTAAAAGTAAGAGAAAAGCCAGATAACATTCCATCAAAAAAAAAAAAAAGATTGAAGGGGAGGAGAGACTGTAGAGTGTAAGGACATACCAAGATTACGGTTGTTAATGCCTATAAGCTCAATCCCCTCTATTGAAAGAACACGATCAAATTCCCTCTCATCGTGGACCTATGACAAAACAACATCAAATGTGAAAAAAAAACTTTTGTCCATCAGGTATTGAAATCATCAAATCAGTCATGACACTCCAAAGTTTTGATTGAAGCTAAGTTGGTCTTTGTCTGGTTCCAACACAGACCTAATCAATCTTTAGATTGTATACTTATAAATCTAATATAATGGTTTTCTTGCTTTCAAGTACAGAATCGTTATACTAAAGAGGTTCTCTGTTTATTATTAAAAATTCTAAGTGACCCAATTTAGAACCAGGTTTACAAAAAATGGGATAAACGTAGAGCATAGATTCGGCAACACATTCCTATTAAACATAAGATATCAGAAAACTTAAAAAGTTTTTTAATGTTGAAGTTGAACACCATTCAGATTTAGAAAACACATAAAAAAGCACCAACTTTACCTCAACAAGTGCAGTTAGTCCAAGTAACTTGCATATCTTAATCATGTATTTGATGTCAAGATCAGGCAAAACAGCAGCAATTAAAAGGACAGCATCTGCACCTTTAGTTCGAGCATAGTAGAGTTGCCATGCATCTACTATGAATTCTTTGCACAACAAAGGGCACTGCATTTTTTGTCCAGAGTCATTAACACGTCCTATAAAAGGCATTATATAGGAGAATATGTTCAATATCAGGGACTTTACAAGTCACAAAACAAACCTTTACTCCAGCCTTTCTTATTGCCTCAAGATTTTCAAAGCTTCCCTGGAACAATATTAAGTTATAGTTATCATTGTGTTGGATCATCACCTAGTACTCAAGCAACCAAATGTTATCCAGCAGGAAACGCATTGTAACAAATTCCATGTTGGTTGGTTTACCTTAAAATACTTTTCATCAGTCAAAACACTTAGACATGCTGCTCCGCCCTTCTCATAAGATTGAGCAATTTCAACCTATCAAGGAAACATCTCAAATAATCGCAGATACCATAAAGAGAAGAAATACAAACTAAAACAGTGTTGGATAATACCAAGACCAAGATACTGAATTTAATTAGAATACATAACATCCTCCTGATACAACAAAATCAGAACAGGTCCTTATTTTGTGAAGATGAAATTTAACAACTATAATAAGATTGATTTCATAAATGCAATAATAGTAAAAGCAAAAACCAAGAGACTAAGAGAGATTTGAGAAGAAAATTATTTTGATGGGCTTGCATCTCAAAATGGTAGAAAATTAAATAGGGAAGCAAAAAGTTTAAGGGACGCCAATCAAAAAAAGAAATGAACAGACTAACTCTAACCAACAAGAAGCAATGGGAAGCTAAAACATTTACCACATTACATCAGTAACAACTTCATAAAGATTACAGTTGTAGAGAGATAACAAATCTATCTGTCAAATTGATAAAGGAAAGCATGGAAATCTTACTGGATCAAAGTTTTCTCTCAAGATACCCCTACTTGGTGATGCCTTCTTCACTTCAGCAATCAACCCCGGCAGTCCAGTTCGTTCATTTGCAGCCCTTAGAGCACCAATAAAATCCCTCGCAGGAGGTGCATTTTCGAGAGCTTTCTTCAGAACACTGAGGGGCTTTCTTTCTTTAAGCTGAAAATCACATAGTAACCAATAATACATTCAATCAATTTGCTGAAAAATAACATATATATATAAAGAACAATAGAGCACAAAGCAAATCAATCATAATACTTGTGAGACTTCTGTGTCCTTGTTCCACACAATCTCTTCCAAAATGTTTCGGGGTGTATTGCCCTCATTCTGCAACCTGAATTGAAAGGGTCCTACATAATGCAAAGGGGGTCCAGATGGTGGCCTTCTCCTTATTCTTATGCCCTGGCTAGATGCAACCTCATTTTGCAACATGCCTACCTCCCACTCCTTAATTTTGAGAGTCTCAGTCACGGATTCACCAGATGTGGATACTGCAGCTGAACCATCAGTAGAATCCACCTAATCAAAACACCACATAATCCAAAACCCACAGTGAATCAGCAAGAGTTACTCATAACATAAAAGTCAGTTATTGAACCCAAATTCTACTTCCCTGACCCACATACACACCATCTAGTCAAAATATAATTCAAACTCACATGGCAAATCCACAAGAGTTACTCGGAACATAAAATTCTGCCTTCATTCATACACCCCAAATGAACCAAAAACTCTACTTCCCCAACCAACATAGCATCATTAGACTCCACCTAACCTAAACACTACATAATCCAAAATCCACATGGCATATCAACAAGAGTTCCCCGTAAATAAAATTCGGCACCCATTCATAGGCCCCAAATGAACCCAAATTATACTTCCCAAACATCTATTTCCATTCTCAGTGAATCCCAACTCCTAAAACAAAAACAGACGAAGACCCAAATTAATCCATAAGGAGACACGCCAAAATGTTGCAAAAAGAAAAGCTCACCTGTGCTCGAACAGAAAATGTTGAAAAGGAGTTTCTTTTAAAAGAATTGACTTGAGTCGGAGGATTCAAGGTTCTGGGTCTTGAAGAGAGGAATAGAGTGGCCTGAAAGGGAGCATTGAGTGAAGCCAAACCTTCCATTGAAGCAGGTAACGCTAAGAAGAAATGAGGGAGGGCTAAAATGAAGATGAGAATCAAAAGGAAACAGTGGTTTAAGGGAACACACCGTCTATCTATATATCTATATCATATTGATTTGGAAGAGAAAACTGTTGTCGCGTTCAACACGTACGCGCAAATTCGGTTCCGATGCCACTGCCTGTTTAAGGTTTTTCTGAGCCAAATAGAGCACGCACCAGTTGGGATTCGATTGGCTCATGAGAGCTAAAAATGGCATAAAATTAAACTGAAGTACATCACAATTACCTCCTGTCATTATTTTTTACGTTACAGATGCATAGTATTCATGCTTTTCAAAAAATGATTAATCTTTGTTGAGAAATTTAATCAACCATTGGAGATTTTTTTCCTTTCACTGTTAAATTTATAATTGAAAAATAATATCATTTTATTCATATTTTATTAACATTTTATTAAATTTATAATTCAAAAATAACATTATTTTATTAATATTTATTTAATTAATACTATTTTTATATACATTAAAAATTCGGAGACCCCACTAATTAATATAAATTTTAAAATAAAATAATATATTTTAAATATAATAATTAAATATAAATATATATATTTTATATAAAATAAATATATAAATATTATATATATATATATATATTTTAATTTATTTATATAATTATATGAAATAAATATAAATGTATTTTTTTAAATAACATAAAAATATATTTATATAATTATATTATTAATATATTTTTATAAATATAGTAAAAATATATTAAAATATAATAAAAATATTTATATATTTCTATAAAAAATATTATTTTTATTTATTAAAATTATTTTATATTAAAAATATATTTAAATAATATATATAATTTATTTATGTAAAAATTTTATATAGAAAGATATAAATATATATTTATTATATTTTATTATATTTATAAAAATATAAATAAATATTTAAATATTATATATATATATTAAATATATTTGTTTTTATTATATTTATAAAAATATATTAATAATATAATTATATAAATAATTTTTTAAATATATATATAATATTTTTATATAAAATATATATATATATATATATATATATATATTTAATTATTATATTTAATAATTATTATTTTATTTTTAAAATTATATTAATTAGTAAAGTTGAAATTTGGCCTCTAACAATCGAATTCCAACTGTACAAGAAAATTGTGCTAGTTAATTAAATATTGATAAAATTATGTTATTTATAGATTATAAATTTAATAAAATGTTACTGAAAAAAAAATTTTAAAATATTTAATTTTTTATAAAAATGAATTACTTATGTAAATATTACGTACAATATGTTATATATGAAAAATTTATGTTAAAATAATGCTATGTGGAAAAAAAAATCCGTTGGATGTGAGAAGATGGTTAAAAGATCAAAATGATTTATTGTTGAACGAGGATTTTTTTTATTATTGTTTATCGTACAAGTGAAAAAAGGATTTCACTTTTTTAAAGTGAGGAGCACAACTATTAATTAAAAAAATAAATATAATTAAAGCGAGGAACTGTTTTAGACTCGTTTTTCAGTTCAAATCATGCATGAATACGACTCATTTAATCCCATTAGAAGAATCAATAAATATATTAAATTAATTATTTATTAATTTTGTTTTAACTAATATTTTTAAGGTGATTTCCTTAAAATTTTCAATATACGTTATTGTTCTTTAACTCCTGTCTGATTATTTGTAGGAATTTTGAATAGTACGTGAATTTCGTTACTCGGTGTCTTATCGTTAATATTCCTGAAGATATAGATTCTTAACTATTTTTATTTTGAAGAGTATTAATTATTTTACAGTTTGCAAATTCATAAGTTTTAATTTTAGCATAATAATGAAAAGGAAATGTTAGATATACAGTTTTTATAAAATCGTGTTGTAAGAATTGGCGTGTAAACTTTGAATGAATTATTAATCCTTTGCCAAAATTGTATATAACTTTATATGGAAATATTATATAGTCTTTCATGATGAAAAAAACAAAGAAAAACATAATATTATTACTTTCTTAAGAATCAGCGCTAATTTTTCAAAATCCTTACTAAATTTTCAATTTTACTCGGCAGAAATAAATTTGTAATCCGAAAAAGAAAACACTGTTTGGATAATATTCATTCGATCTTGTATATTCCCATATTACATGGACATTTTATTCATAATCTCATTCTGCATAACAAAATGTACGAAAAATTCATAACGAATTAACGTTCTTACGAAAATACCATTTTGGAAGCAATTTAATACTCATAATACTCAAACGAGTTTTTAAATAATTTAAAATTTATGTTGATACGGTATTTTTCAAAATAAAAATGTCCATTCATTTTTCCAATTTCCCTCTTTCCTTTTATTTTTAATTTGTTTAGTTATTTACACCTCAAACTTTTTTTTTTTTTCAGTTCAAATTATCCATGTTTCACATATCAGCTTTCATATATATTTTCAGTCGTGACGAAAAAGGTACTAGGATGCAGTTGAATCCAAATTCTGAATAAATTCCTTTATATTTAGAACTTAATTCTGTGTTATTGTTATTTAGAACTTAATAAGGAATACTCTATTGTTGAAATTTAGCTCCTAATTTAGTATATCATGAGATTCTAACTTTCAAACATACCATTTCAAACTGAATTTTCAATGGTTATAGAAAATTTACTCCGTACTATTAAATCTCATTACAAGCGGTTTTAAACTGATATTATTTTGTAAGACTTGAGTTTTTTTTTTTCGAATAGTCTTTTTCAAGATTTATTAATTTTGTTTACACTATTATTTTCATAAGAGTGTTAATTCATTTCATAATGATATTTCTAGAATGGTTAAAAAATGTATGGGGATGCAATGAAATTAAAAAATAAAATGTTTAAAGGAAATTTAGTCATTTTAGTATGTTTAGAGGGCTCAAGGCAAGATGTTCACCAGCATTAAGAAAAGACTTACAACATGGTACATTGATGATGGTAGAGTATTATAACATCTCTAAGGAGAATAATTATAAATAGAAGTAGTGTTTTAGTATAGTTCTATAAATATAAAAACAAAGTTGTGGAGATTTAACTGTTTAATGGTAGAACGTAGCTGGCCAATTGGAGATTACTTATTTTAACCTACGATTCATTTTGGTTCTTTATCAAGCTTCGAAGTGTGTGCCAAGTTTGGATAGTTAGGTAGGTAGGTAGGTAGAATAATCAACAAGCAATTTTGTTTTCCCCATGACATTGATAGTTTAAAATACAATGGAGCAATACTCATCAATTTAATATAAACATGTCAAATAGGAGTATTTATTTTTAATAATATTTATGAATACAAATATTATTTTATTGTAAAATCACAAACATTATGACTTAAAAGAAAGTTCAGAAAAAAATATCAATTATTTTCTAGATTCCAAAAACAGTTTTTTAATATTATGATGCATACTACAAAATCAATTAATGCTAGTTTAGTCAATGTTGTGTATCTTTTCAATATAATAGCTTTTAATTAATTAAACTTTATTATTTATAGAGATATTGTTCAAAATAAAACTGTAAAAACTATTGTTTTGAGACTGGGAAAGCATGTTTGTTTTGAAACATTAAAATCGAATTCAGTTGAAGCAAAAATTGATCATAAAAGAAAGAAAACGAAATTAGCATAGACTCAAAACAAAACTACAGTTTAACAATCTATCATGGTATAACAAAGGATAAAGAAAAATTTCCATCGTTTCTTTCCAGTGATATAAGGAAAAACCAAAAATGAAATATAACCGAACTAAGATTGGAGTCCTGAGGCGATAGCAATTCCCCTCACCCTGCCCAGAAGACAAAGGTTTATTTACATAATTCCTTTTGCACACTTTCTTCAGATAATTTCATCAATAACACAGCTAACATTTCCACACACACAAATTAAATAAAAATTAATTACAAAAACCGGACTGCCTAAAATCGATATGCATAATCTCTTACACATGTACTTATGAAGTAATTCCTCCTTCAGATGTTTGAATATGAAATCGTAGCACAGCACCTTATTGTCATGTGTGTTATTAGAAAACCATTTTACAATGCAACCAATGAATTCATCCACTTATTGGCGTTACAAACAAATTCTACAGTTTTCATCAAAAGCAATACCATTCAAAATAAGCAAGAACAACATAAGAACATAACAGAGTCAAAGATGAGAAAGTCACCTGCCAATTAACAAAAAGGCAAGCATTATGATAAAGGGAAAAACTAGTAAAGTTATGCACCCTAAAAAGCAATAGAGAGATTATAAAGTTCATTGAAATATTCACGTTGAACTTCCATCAGGAAGCGCAGCTACAAAGAAAAAAAAAACATTCTTATACCACATAGACCAAATACTCTGTTCTGAATTAGGAAGAAGAAACTGGAGCAGGATTTGAGGAAAGATTCATTGAAGAGAAGATACAATATATATTGATCAACTTCCTTATTCTTTTAGTCTTAGACTCCCATTTAAATTTTCCATGAAACAAGGAATATAACGTCTTTTATTACCATACCATGCCATCTAATCTAAACAATGATATGAGCAGGGCAGAAACAGCAGACAAACAGAAGTTGAACTTAATTTGTAAAATGAGAATGTAATTAAAACCCATTAAGGTCGGCTTAGTGGATGGAGCTGTGTGTGGTGGGTAAGGTGGAGAGTTTGAGTAATATGCACAAGGTTCAAGATTCTGACTTTGTTGCCAACATTGCAGACCCATTCATGATGACAAAATTATCCACAGGGATGTTCAAATACCCATTAATATACGTGAGTATCCACGAGGTTTTATAATCACACAGGTAAAGTCAAAGCATTTATATCCACATATACGTAGGTAGACCCTTCTGGGATTTTCTACACCCACCCACCCGGACCCATTCGTCCCTATTCATATGCATATAAAGAACCTCAATCAAACAAGAACTCAACTATTCCTATTCATTAAGCTTGCTTGACACGCTATAGATAACCAAACAGCACACCAAACAGCACACCTTATTTATTTATTTATTAAAAAAACATAATTTAACGTCACTTTCACACTTATCGATCAATCAGAGAAGGAAAACTATATGAACTATTGTAAAATATCCAAACACAGGAATTTACACAAAAATATTCGACACTTTTCACACATCCTTAGATATCCAATCGAATGGAAGCCATATTTGCTTCAACCCATCATATAAAAAGGTTACACGCAATCACGAGAAAATAATGGTAACTACTGAAACAATATTTCTTCTCAATCAACCAAACAACCAAAAAAGCACATCAATTTTTTTTTAATCTATACACAAAAATCCAATCGCGATCTTTAAGAAGATAATAAACAGAAAGATCCAGCCGAAAAGATGAATATAAAAAGCAACCAAAAAAAAATTGTTGTGGGAAGTAGTATAATTTACCTAACCAGATCCGACGATAATGTTGTTAATTGGAATGAAAATGAGCTTCACGAAGAAACCCACGAATCCCATCACGACGAAACCAATTGCAGTACGCACCGCGACCTTAGAGAATTCTAAAATACAAAATGCATCGGAAAATTCAGGATCCACAGCACAGAGAATCGAATCGAACAGAAGAAGCAGAACTGGGATTAGGTTTTCACCTTTGCGATCGGGTTTGTGGCAGCGCTTCACGAGCCTCACGCTGTCCTTTGCGAATTCTCTGAGTGGATCGAAGACGGAATCAACGGCGTCCATTCTCTCTCACCTTTTTTTTTTTCTGTCTCCTGAGTTTGTTGGATACGAGAATCGAAACAGGTGTTGATTTTTTTTTTTCTACCGAAAAGTGTTTTATTTTTGTTAGAAGGAAATCGATCAAGGGATCGAAAACGAATTTAAGAAAAATGGAGGATTATATGATTGGTTAAAAATTGATAAAATTGGTAAAATATAACTGATAATTACAAAGATAAAAATACATCGAAAATCAAAATCGAGAATCGAAGAAACAAATTTTGATGTCTATTGTTGAAGAGAATCGCGAGATTAGAATAGTACAAAGTTAAGAATTAAAGGGAATCAAAAGCAAAATCTAAAATACTCGATGTCTGAAATCGAGATCATGGGAGCGGTTAACACATACAGGGGACACGGGAAACGGTTCCGAAACCGTGGCTCAGATCGAAGATCAAGGGAGCAGTTCTCTTATGTGTGAGAACGTGGAATGCAGTTTTTTACTGTAAGACTATCGTGGTGACGGTTTTATTAACCACTCTTAGGAGGTTACTTGAAGAATGCTCTATAAATAGAGCGAAGACTGGAAAAAGAGGAGGAGATTGGCAGAGAGAGCTGAAACACTAGTGAAAAGTCTACCGGAGAACGACGAAATCATGAAGTTTTTGGCGATCTGAATTTCCATTTTTATTGATTGTCTTTACCGCTTTTTGTACTTTCTCTGGTAATTTATGTTCATGCAATTTATTTTGATGCAGTTTACGTTTAACAATTTTAAGTTTCTGCACTTTCAATTCCTTGTCACTTACTTCTATGCAAGTTAAGGTTATGCGTTTAAGATCCTCGCCATTTACATTTCTGCAATTTTGATTTCCCGTTCTTTACTTTCCTGCTATTTACATTTCTGCAATTTCGATTCCTTGCCATTTACACTTAATGCAAATTTGAGGTTTCCACATTTTTTACATTCCTGCAATTTAACATTCTGCACCGCTTTTCGATTCAACAATTTTACTGTTTTCTTTACTTCGCGTTATTTAATAAAAAATACAAAAAATAGTACTTTCGATTTGCACTTTAAGTAATGTTGTTTGCATTCATGAGATTCTCGATTCTCATGCACTTTTCGATTGAAAACTAGTTGCTAGCCTAAGTAAAAAGAACCTACATGGTCGAGATTTGATTAGGGCTCAACTCCCCATAAATCGAAATCAATCAAATTTTCATCAGAAACAAATTGGCACGCCTGGTGGGACGTCTTGTGTCGAAAAACACAAAATTGGTTAGTTCGAAAATGTATGAGATTAAGGAGCGGGCGAGTAATAAGAATGAGTCATCCACCAAATAACCAGAGTAACAATGAGGTTCTAAATGGTTCACATCCACCAAACACTGGGGGGCAAGGTCATAATGGGAATATGTTTGTAATATCGACAACCGCGAGTATGTCGATACCTGTGAGTAATGAACAAAGTTCAAGTACATTAGTCAATACTCAAGTAGGGTCTAGTACTGTGATACCAAACAATGTGCAAACTATGGGAAACCCCATAACAACATATGCAGGACCGTATATGAGCGTAAGGTTGCCTAATTTTTCGCTTAATAATATGAATGGGACTGGTACTTCTTCAATACAACGAAATTCGAGATTTAACCTAGGAATGCCTCAAAACTTAGGAACATTTCAAACTCTAGGTATGCTGCAAAATTTCGGAGTATCTCCAAACTTAGGGGCGTCTCAAAATTTAGTGACCCCCCAGAATTCAGGGAGTGGGCAGAATTTAGGTACACAACATACACCTCCAAATCTAGATCACAGAGCAAATCTGGATCATGGGAGATATACATTCGATAGAGATTATCATCGATCCAATTTTGAGGCTATCGAAAACGCTAGTACTGGAATCTCCAGTAACTCATTAGGAGTACTTAGACAACAAATGGATGAAAGCAATTTCGAGATGGTTAACATGTTATCACAACAGTTGACTACAGTATTAAATCCATTAGTGCAAAACACTACCACTAGTTTTGAAATACTAGCAGATCAAATGTCACGTATCGGGGATGCATTGGCAATACCCCGACAAACAAGGATCGAAAATAATGCCAATCAGAATGCTAATATCAATCCTCCTTATTTATTAAGGAGAAATCGAAACAATGATCAACATCAACACATGGGGAATGAATATCAACAGGTGAGGAATGATATTTACGGAAATTTGAATGAAGGATTTCAAAATGTGTATAATAACATGCAATATAATCACATGCTAGGACAAAGGATGAATCCCCAAAGAGTGGAATTAAGACCACCTAATCAAACATATTTTGTTTCTCCTTTTCCAAATACGATTCTCGAGACAGAGTTACCTCGAGGATACAAAATACCTAAATTCACCAAATTTGCTAGAGAAATTGGTGAGTCCACTATCGAACATGTGGCGCGATATCAGATCGAATGTGAGGACTTAGCGATGAGTGAAGAATTAAAAATGAAATATTTCCCTAGTTCATTAACTAAGAATGTTTTCACTTGGTTTACTTCATTGTCCCCCAATTCGATATATAATTGGTTACAATTGGAAAGAAATTTTCATGAGCAATTCTTTAGGGGGGAAACTCAAGTAAGCCTCATCGACTTAATGAACATAAAGAGATACAATCATGAAAGCATAGATGATTATTTGAATAGATTTAGACAAATGAAGTCAAGATGCTTTACTCAAATTCCTGAATATGAATTAGTCAAAATGGCATCTGCAGGCTTAGAATTCTCGATTAGGAAAAAGTTAGTTAATTTACCGTTGAATGACATGACTCAGTTAGCTGATAAAGTAAGAAGAGTGGAACAAATCGAATATGAGAAACAAAGATACAAGAAATTTGAGAAACCCATGAAGAAAGAAAGAATAGCATATATAAATTATGTATATGAGGAAGACCCCAAGGCAGAAACAGATACTGTCGATGAGAAAGTAAATATAGCAGAGCTTAAAGTAGGAGCTCCATACATTTGGAAATTGCTACAGAAAAATGAAGTAAAAGACAAAATGGCAAATCGCACATATACTTTTGATGTAACAAAGGCAGATAAAATTTTTGATATTTTATTGAAAGACAAACAGATTAAGTTGAGCAATGATCATAAACTGCCTTCTGCAGAGCAAAGGAATGGTCAAAAATATTGTAAATTTCATAATACTTACGGACATTGGACTAATAATTGTATACATTTCAGGAACACGATTCAAGATGCTATCGACCAAGGAAGATTGAAGTTCGAGGAAATGTCAATGAAAGTGGATACGAGTCCATTTGAGGTTCAAGTAGGGTATATCGAATCCCAAACGGGCATGACTGAAGATGTCCGATTGACAAATTCGACCTTTGTAGGCATGGTTGATGTTACTGAAGACATTGATCCCAAGCATGTTAGAATGGATGTATCCGAAGAAGACATGGAATTCAACCTGAGTGAGTTCGAGAAAGAATTCGAGAGAGAGATCTATCCTCAATCAGGAGATTCCCTCGTCGAGTTTTTAAACATAAAGAAAGAAAATGATGAAGATGTATCGCTATGTCCACGATGCAGTGCGATGTTCGACAAGTCAGCCGCTAAAGCTTTCAGAGCAGGACAAATAAAGAAAATTGAGAATCAAAATAAAAGGAACAATAACAAAGTAGATCAATCAGCCCAAGCAACGATAAAGGAAAGTCAACAGAAATCTGTCGGTTCTGGTGCTAGTAGGAATCAGAGACAGTGGGTTAGGAAAGAAATGTATCCTTCTCGAGGAGGAAGGGGTAGATTTCAAGGTAATGGTGTCTTCGAGAGACTTTCATATGATGAAGGATCGAATATTGGATTCCCAACATTCCAAAGGAGATTTCGAGGAAGGCCCTGGAGAAGAGGAGGAAGGATCCCTTACTGGAATAATTACAGGGACTTTGAAGAGAGTAATGTACCAATGGGGAGCCAATATGCAAGAGATTTTTTTGATGGTAAAAATGAGGATAGCTGGGATGAACATCAAATCGGAGTAATATCGATACTACCCGCAGAATATGTTAGTGAGTATAAAGAGTACCAAGAACAAATGTCGATCGAGAGGATGATTTCTATTCCGAAGACATGAGGCCAAAAGTGACATGGGTAACACAAGCATCATGCGAAGTACCCCATAGAGATGCTGCTTTTATTGATCCTCCATCTGAGGAGATGAGATTCCATCTGAAGCCCTTATTACTGAATATCGAGATTCAAGGACAAATGGTGAATAGAGTCATTGTCGATGGTAGTGCAGCGGTGAACATATTGTCAATCACTATGCTGAAGAGGTTTGGTATCGAATTGAAAGACTTAGTCAGGCATAATATCATGATTTCTGACTTCAGTGGGAAAACATCAAGTTCAGAAGGCATGATTGCCTTAGATGTGAAAGTAGGCACTTATTTGAGGCCTACTGTGTTTGTAGTTGTCCAATCACATGCCAATTTTAATGCGTTACTTGGCAGGGAGTGGATTCATGGAGTTGGAGTCGTACCTTCTATGCCTCATTAGAAATTGTTCATGTGGAATCGAGATGGACATCTCGAAGTAATTCCAGGGGACCAGCATGAGTTCGTTACATTTGTATCTCAGGCTGGTCGGGCACTGCAGAATTTGGCGCTTACTCAACCATTCACCTTCGAGATTGTCGAAAACTTCAATTCAAAATTGCATGAGGAGCGTTTATTAGAAATGAATGAGAAGAAAGGATTTGTCATGATCAAAGAGGGGGTCAGCCTCGAAGTGGCCGGTGAAAATGAATAGAGATTACGAGGAATTCTTGGCCCGATTTAAAAGATATGAAGATGAAAAGAAGGGCCAAGAAAGTAGTAGTATTAAGGTAGAAATAAATAAGTCGATTCATTCGACAGTAGTAGCAAATAATAGCGATCAAATTATACTTGATTGTATTTATGATAATTCTCCTTTAGGTTTTGAAAAATCCATCACATCGAATCAAAAGAAAGTC